GTACCAGTGTTTACTACAGAAATTAGTATAAATTATTTTTTGCGATTTTTCGTATAGCCTCTGCTTCCAGACCGGTTCTGGGGCCCACCCAGCCTCCTATCCAATGGGTACCGGGGTTCTTTCCCAGGAGTAAAGAGCGGCCGGTGCGTGATGCTGACCACTCACCCCCATCTAGTGCCGAGGTTAAGAATGAGTAGGAGCTATACGTCCTCTCCCCCAAAATGACCTACATGGCGTATAGTGAAACAGCTTAAGTTTACTTTACCTATCTTGTAAAACACTGTTTGTCACACACGCCTAATTAAACTGACAATTGAGTGTCCAATTACACAGCCTACGTACGCAAGAGATTGCTTAAAGAGTAGCTTTAGTTTCTTACCAAGAGAGAGGCGTGAACTAGTGTCAAGTGGAGGAAGGGGACTCATAACCCGTGATACTAACGGTAGAAAATCCATAAGAGCATAACAGGCCTAAGTGAAAAGTTAAAAAATAAAAACTCTGTCACTAGACGTCGCTGTGTTATGGTACACGGGCTGGAAATTTGATATAAACGATGCCGGATTTTTATGTTTGTTGACATTTTAATAAGGCCAAGACAACAAACAGACTGCGGATTCAGGATGACATTCCCACGGATTTTATAAAAATTGCCCAATCATTACAGAAATTACGGGAGGGGACTCAAGACGAGGTCACAGTGTCCGCACGCTTATGTAACAAACTATTCGACATTTGGTGAGAACGCATTTGTGAGTTCAATACTCATACAATACAAAGCCTGTGTCTGAAAAATATATAACGTTTAATTTGTGTAAACTGAGTAACAGACTTTATACTGACCTCATGTGTATGTAATTCCAATAAAATTCAGTTTCGTTCTACCGAAATTTTTCTAGAGTGCTTTTTTGATAGATATACACAAAACTGGCGTTTCTACGAGACTTGACATTTTCGTCTAATATTCTCCTCTAGCTACATATAAGACAGGGTAACCAGATGGACCTCGAGAACCATCACTCCTCCTGTTTTCATCAAAATTCAATAATGTATAAGCAACAAACCCGTGAAATTTACATATAATGCGAGTGCAGCGTTCGTGTCAAGTCTGATGGTCCCCCGGGGTGCATAATGTAAAATTATCCATTCTTCACCGAATTGTTTCGCAATTTAACTTCGTCCGCACTTCCTGTTGTCAGCGTCCCAAGTTCCCTCTACAAGAGTAGTTCTAGCTGGAAAGGGTTGCTGCTTTGAAAACTTGTTATTCCAGACCCTAATGATTTCACCCCACCTTCTTCACCATCTCTACTTCCCCAAATTAAAATATTTCCTGAAAGTCAATCTACCCCAAAAAACCCTTTCTTTCCATAAACCCCCTCCCCGAGACACATCTTCATTGACGTTGCTGTATAGCATTTTAATTTCATCCAACTCCCTCACCCCAACTTATTAGTCTCTTCTTTGTGTACTATCATCCTTTGCTCTCTCTTTTCTACCCCCAAACGGTCTCCCCTTTTAGTGCCTTTCTTCCAGCCGATAGCCGCATTCTCCCCCACCCCAAAGCCCCAAATAACCCTCTCCGACCTCATAGCGGCATACACAAAGAGGAAACCACACTCAACCTAGAATTTAATCAAATGCCAATTAATTAGAGTGCAGCAGGTATCATAATCATCATATCGGCTGGCAGTCCAGGCACACGAAGGCTAATATGTAAGTTTGAAACAATTTCTGCTGTACACCGGCCAGGGTCAATGTCTACGACACAAAGGAAACGCTGTGCCAACAAGTTGCTACAAATCGCATTCCAGTGAACAAACGTTCACAATAAAAGCATCATTAAACAGAAGTCAAATACCAAACATTTCCCAGGAACAAAGTTGAAAACCACGAATTCTGTGGTAAGTTGAATTAGTGAGCGCAGTGAATGCATGTGTAAACGTTTAGAACACATTAGGTAACTTACATAGGCTACCTTTCTAATGATATTGCATCAGCTGTTTATGTTGCAAAGACAAGACATGCTTAAAATTTTTCTATTAGCACCGTCCCAGCTCAGAGCTTGTTATAATAGTCAACTCAATCAAAGAGGTCTTTTGGTCAGCTGAATCGTTCAGGGCAGTCATGAAGGTTGTGAACTTAATCTTTCAACGAGGCCGAGCATAGTTCAGTCAGCTTAATCGACGTAAGTTCACATGTTCGACTAGCTCGATCGTTTTTACACACCAGTCCGAAACTGTGCTCAAATCAATCGTTCAACATGTTCGGTCACCGTAAAAATTCAATGTTGTGAACTAATTTATTCAATGAGACCAGTCATTGAATACTATCGTCTCAATCCTTCAACGAAATCAGTCATTAATTCAACCAGACGTTGAATTTAATTGCCTCAATTATTAATCGATATCAGCTAATCGTGCCACGGTGGTCTAGCGGTTAGAAGGCTGGCCTTGTAATCCTGGGGTCTCGGGTTCGATTCCCGGCGGTGCCCGAATTTATAACTTGTGTTGGCCAAGGCCGTGGTCTAGGCAACACGGAGTTTTCCTCCGGGGGCTTCCCCGGTTTCTCCGTGGCATCCCAACAATTACTCCATTCACACACAGAAGAAGGCAATGGCAAACCACTTCTGGATCATCTGCCAAGAACGTATATGAACAGGTCCCAGTCCGAGAAAAGGATGGAAGGATCCTGTTCATATGGACCTGTCGTCAGACAGAACACTAAATAATAAAATAAAAAATCAGCTAATCAGTCTGATAGTCCACTTAATCGATCACTGGGGTAAGTTTGTCAATGTGGTGATTTCGATATTTTCACTCTACCACTGAAGTTGAGTATCGACAAGCAGAAAAACAGGCACGGCAGACAGTTGGGTCAGGTTAACCTCAATAGATATTGAACCATACTGATAAGACTTCATAGAAATCAAAGGAATCAAACGGTGATTATTGTGGTGTGCCTGTACTCAGTCTCATTTCTACTAGTGGTGACACCAAATCAGAAGATGTGTTAAATACAATATTTAGGGTTCTGACTTACAAACGTTTTCAAATACCGTGTATTCCAATTTATTGTAAGTTGACCTCTTAACCACTTCCATAGCTCAAGTATTCATAATTAACATATAATAAACTCCTACAGGCAATTTAAAAGTTCGACACAGCCAATACGAAAGCTCGCCACTGAAAACGATAAAATCCTTACTAAAGAAAAGGGACGTTACAGAAAATATATATAGTGATAATCTGAGAAACAGAATGAGGCAGTTAGGAAAGATGATGATTCATGAAGATAAGTCATATTCAGGGCGCCCTGATGATGGAAGAGGTAAATACTTCCGAAACATCCGTAAATTTTACCAGACAATTCACTCAGAATACAACCATCTTCACACAAGCAGTCGTGAGAATATAAAATCTCATATGATGATTCTTGAATCAAATACAGAACGCTTTGAGCAGACAAAATACTTCGTGTTAAGGTTGAAGAACAAGCCCCGAACAAGCGACTTTGTTGCTCCACTGTTGCTATTAACAACGAAACACGTGATCATCGGGGCCATGCATATTGCAGATCTACAGCGGAAAGGCACAAGGGATGGAAATTGAAAGTTTCGACGTCAATATATCGATTTCAAACGGCGCTATTCCCACCAGATGTTTCTTTCCGGCAAAGCTACTTATTAAATTTTCAACTCTTAGAGAACAAGCGTCAAGTTAAAGAAGTTTTGCTTGCAACGTAGCTCGTCACAAATGCATGCTGGCCACCACGAAAATAAACACCGTACAAAAAAAAAAAAACGTGAGGTCGATAGCAAAGTTAAACGATTACTACATAGATTTAGTGGTAGAAAGAGTATTAGGTAAGATGGCGACTCATCGCCCTGACGATGGAGGCAGTAAGGTCCTCTGAAACGTTGGTAAACCTCTAACAGACTACACGTCGATATAACGGGGGGCATAAAACCATTAATTTTTACAACCCATTCAAATGACGTTCCTCTGCTCACATAATGAATTGAGGTTTTTCACTATTATACAGGGTGATTCTAAAAGGACTTTACACCTTTGAAAGTGTATAGAAATTTATTCAGAAGGCTTACAGAATCGGTTGAGGTGTCATTTTGTAACAAAACAAATCATGTTTTACCTCAAATAGTCGTTTCGGTTCGATGTGATTGCCATTGGTGATCCGGCAGACATCCCACCTGAAAAAAATTTCTGTAAGCTTTCTGATTAAATTTCTATACACTTCCAAAGTTGTAAAGTCCTTTTAGAATCACCCTCTATTTTCCCTTCAGATCTATATAGAATTCTTATTTATATATATTTTGGCTGAAATATCGAGTGATTCAACATTCCCTGCTTACACTCACAAGCCCTAGGTGGCGCATGTGATGCGTATTACCATGACCACTACATTGTAACTTGTAACCGTAAGCTCACCACGAGAAATACGTCATTCCATCCTATCTTCGGCCACCCATTGAAGCTACATGGTCCTTCATACGTCTTCCTCTTTGCAGCGAATTATCCGTTTTACTACCACTCTTCAGTCTGCACGCTTATAGTTGCATGCATGCTCAGACACGTACCTTCATCTTCTGGGTTATACCGACGTGTAGTCTGTTAGATGTTTACCAACGTTTCAGATTATCTTACTGCTTCCATCGTCAGGGCGATGAGTCGCCAACTTTTTATCTAACAATCTTTTTATCAATCCTTTCACTACGCTATCAACCTTAAGTTTTTTCATGTAGTTCGGTGTTTATCTTTCTCCTAGTCGGTTGATATTAGGGAAATAATATCCAAAAATTATAATCTGTGCCTGACATTAACAGTACTGGTCAATTCGCCTCAGAATCCTTCTCCTATGCAACTAGAATGTAACTTCAAGACAAAGTGTATAAACGCCAGAGTTAACACTGTATTTATGAAGTTGTAGTCATGAACGTTTAGAAACGGACTAGTTCTTGCGTATGTACAATAACGTAAACTACTCACCATTTCTGTTTTCACTGTCAGCTGGTTTCATTTGAATAGGATGATGCATCTGCAAAAGAAAGAAAATATATGCAAAGTTATAATCTTCAGCAAAGTTGTCAAAGTCTATTAGAAGTATGTTTTCATACTTCAGATATAATGCACAGGAATTAGTCACCATCAATTCGTGGCAAATAACAAATCATGGACGACTCTTACTGCAACCACCACTAATACTACCACTTGTCATCCTTTTCCTACTATCACTACAACAATTATTACCAGAACGTTGATAAAGAAAATGACAATAAAACGAATAAAACCCTACGATTAATTCATCAGAAGCATAATGCAGCACGAGGTGCGATCGGAATGTTTCCAGACTGCGCCTATAAAAACCCGTACACTTATCTCAGGTATTAAATTCATCTATCACCCTCGAAGTAGTTCCCCTGGGAGTGAACACAACGATCCCAGCGCCGCTGCCAAGAATGGAAGCATCCCTGGAAATCTTTCTTTGTCAGCCTGTCAAGCACCATCTGCGATTCTGCCTGAATCTCTTCTATCGTCTCAAATCTCCTTCCCTTTAGCTGAATTTTCATCTTTGGGAAGAGGAAGAAGTCACACGGAGCTAAGGAGGGTGCGGGATGACGGCCATGGTGTTTGAGGCCAAAAACTGCCGAACTTTGAGGGCGGTGTGCGCTGGCGCGTTGTCATGATGCAGCAGCCAGTTGTGGTTGCGCCACTTTGACGAATAGCAATGCCCAAGAAACAATTGGTATATTACAACCTACAAAAAAAGAGGCTTAATGGGGGTCACTAAATTATTGAACTATGGCCATCGTCTGTGTTTAAAAAAACATTACGTTTCGGAAGTTGGATCTGCTTCCATCTTCATGTTAAAAATGTGGGAAGGGCATCTAATCAGTTGGGTATGAAAAAAAGAGGTAACATCAATCACTGGACCTAATGATCCCGATTGTAACACACCATCGTCAGTACTCTTTAAAACTGATGAGGTTTAATGGATTTACTACCGGTGTGTGAGATCCGTTTCCAGTTCAAAGACGATAAAAAGGGGGAATGCCTTATCCCAAATAGGGGGCAGTTTTGCTTCAGAATACACAACAGGTCTATTTCATTGTTGAGATTTTTCGACTACAACACTGTAAGCATTTCTTCACCTCCCACTCCCTTGAGTTGATGATCCTACAAATGTGGTGAAGAGTTCAAGGCGTATCATCATGAACTTCGCAGGACTTGGCACAGCTGACTCGTCCGTCTGTCCAGGTGTAGCTCGTTGTTCCTTATTTTCCTTCGGGCATCCAGGACCTCTTCGCCGCATTGTTTGTGTTACGAATGCCTGCTTTGTTACTGTTTCACTTCGTTCTACGTATCTTGTGGCCAATTATTTTAAAAAGTCATAAATTTCACAGATAATATTTTAAATATTTACTTCTTATGTCAGTATTTCATTGGTATTACACAACATTCGTGTTGCTTAAAATCTTATGGTATATGTTTACTTATTTTTGTTTCTGATAACGTGTGTTTGTCCAGTTTCTCTCAATGTTGCCACTTATTTTGTTGCAGGTTGTAATTTTATTTATACCCCTTCTGTGGCGTAAAATAAGGCATCCTTCATAAATTGTAATATCTGTTCCACAAGTTTTCCGTTTGGCACAATGTTTACTCCTCGAATGATATTTCCACACATTTCCATAAATTTAGTTTTGGTAAAACTGGTTTTCACACTAAATAATTCGAAATGTTTCAGTTGTGGTGCAGATACACAAAATGTTAAACGTTGAACAAACAACGCAAGAACAAGTGTTAATATTTTCTGGTTCGTTAGAGCTCTCAACTAGATACATCTCCAGTGCTAACTTCAACATGTTCTGTGTTGCGATGACATTAAACATTAAACCATTGGTCTCTGAGCGTTGTGTTGATTCAACAAAGAGTACAGACACCTCTTCTCTCCACTCAAAAAGCACTACGTCAGAAATGTAACAGGGATGTCCAGATATTCGTAGAATTTAGCAACATACCGACTGCGTTATAATGTTCAGAGCTGTGTGCAAGTTCATTTTAAAGAAGGCTATCTGACCACGTAAAGCAGGATATCGCTTAAGAAGTCGATACTTCAGTCGGTTTGTCTATAAAACCGCCACATATATGGAAACCAATGGCGTATTATAGCATTCTAGGGGCCCGCCTTTGTACTGAATCCTCATTCATCTGAATCCACCCCATTTTTTTTTTTCAAAATGCACTTCTTTAAATTTGATTTTAAAATTATTCTCACAACTCCACTTAAAATCACAAATGTCTCTCTTCTTTTCAGTTTAGTCAATTAATATCAGCAGTACGGACCAGAAACTTAAGTGTCCTGTTAAAATCTAGTCTGCGGAGAGTTTTTACATCTTCCTATTGGCGTATTTCGAAGTGAAGTTCGAAATCGACGACGGTAATGCGTAACCTTGTTGAAGACCATAACGAACTCAAATTACTCCATGAAGAAGAATCCTTCTTGAAAATCTAACAGTCGCTCAGCTGATCAATAAGTTCCCATCCTTCTATGAAACCTTAAGGTTCATTACAGTGTACCACCAGACGTTGATGAAACGCCCGTTCCGTGCCATATGAATCCAATCCACATTCTCCCATTCCAATTCCCCAAGATCCATTTTAATGTAACTCTCCTGTATACGTTTCGATGATCCCAGCGGTCTCTTCCGTGCAGGCTTCCCAATTAGACTTCTGTACGTATTTTATTCTCTCTACATACAGAATCCATTTCATCATCCTAAGAATACCTGGTGTAGAGTGTAAAGTTCCACACCATTTTGAATAGAAAATGTAAAAACGTAGGTCCATATAGAAGTGTTGCATTGCTGGCAATTTGATTTTCTGATAAAGAATATTTTACTACGCTAATCCTGTCATCGTAAGCAATTTTCTGCAAGCTCTGATTGCGATCAGTGTGAAAATGTGTTCTGTCCATACTTTTACACTTAAATTCTTCTAATATATAGCTCAGTCAGTATAGTGACTAGATATGGGCTGGACGACCGGGGTTCGAACCCCGACGGGGGCAGAATAATTTATAAAATACATTCTTTACTTTATCATACAATCATTATTACCATTATCATTAACTGAGACACGCACGTTCGGAATACGTATTTATTTGTAGTTTAATAAACTACGCTGTTCGTAGCGCAGTAGGTAGGCCTGCAGCGTTGAATGATTAATGAATTGGACATGACAGGAAGCTGCTGTGGCATAATTAAGGGCACTATCTCGACATTTGCCAGGGGGGGGATGAGAAAAACTAAACACTTAAGTCTGGATAGACGGTCACCGGGCTGATTCTTGAACGCGGGACCTACCGAATACGAAGCAGAAGTGTTAACAACTATCCTACAGCGACGCAAGTCCATATTCAGAATAATTATCGTAATACAAAATCAAAGACACCTGATAGTGGTATCCTGTCACTAAAACACTACGCCTCGTTAACTGAATTTTTACGACAGAAATAACAGATACGTTTTCGTCCTGAAGAGGGAGAAATAGTGTGAAAACCAATCACATTTATCTGTACACTTGCTAATTCTCTTCTGTCACTCATACAGTAGGTGAACGACGTGAAACTCTTATATGAGTGGCAGGACACTGTGAAAGCCATCTTGACGTGAGCCCATTCAGTGATGTTCCTGGAGATTATTCATAAGTACACGTCCTCCTCGACACTAAATATCTGCTGAAAACTATTGGCACTTGATATAATGCATACTGAAATATCAAGAAATCGGAGGTAAAGGAAGGAGATGTGAGTTCTAGGAAAATATACAACAAGCAGAATTAATGAGATGATAAAGTTGCGTCATATTGTGATAAATATATATTTGTTTAAATCTTGTCAGTCTAATCACAATAAAATTCCTATTAAATATTAAAATATTACCATAATTAACATTTAAATATTTAAAATATATTAATAATAATAATAATAAACAAAGCAGAATTAAGTACATAGGAGGAGGAAGAAGAAGAAGAAGAGGAGGAGGAAAGGTTAAAGAAAGAAGACAGGGCATGAAGACAGTGACGCAAAGAGGGAAGGAAGATAAAAGGAAAAGTTAGTAAAAATTCATCAAGGTTTGTATATTGATATAAATTCTAGGTGCTCCGATTCTGAGAACTTCCTTTCGCGAACAAAACCCTTTCTTTTCTAATTACCCTCTAAGGACCAGACATACATACACTAAGCAATTTCTGTGCTTATGCAAATCCGAGTCTCTTTTATTTTTAATTCTTAACATACTTTCTCGGATGGAGAACAAGGTGGTAAAATTTGCATGAATGAATGTGTTCTACATAGCCCCGAGGTTGTAAAGTGAGAGAAGGTGCGTAGTTTTATTTCATAATAAATTGATTCTCTCTTCTTACAGAGCGACATGATGATAGCACAGGTAGAATTACTGTCCTCACCTCAGCCCCCCCCCCCTCAAATCCCTCCTTCTGCCAACATGTTTCATCAAAAGTGTATTTCTAGCAGTTCATGCACGAATACGAATAAGCTTTTAAAAAAAACCCGGCAGATATGAAATCATACTTGAGATTTCTGCAGGGGATATCGTCTTAGTGTCCCTAGCCGACAATAATAAACTCCACTCTATAAAATGTCTCCAGCTACCTAATGTTACCGACACGAACAACGGCGGCTGAGTTTTGGACGATTCTGCGCATGTCACGTGCCGTCATAAGCCAATCACCTTAAGAGAGTTGGTGTGGACGTATTCGTTTACTATCGCCTTCGTTCTTGCAGGTCACTTTGGACACAAAACCATTAAGGTATCATCTGTGCGTTCACGTTCGGCCACTTTATTAGCTGGAGAGCCTCAGCTGAAGTTCGATGAATTGTCAGCTTTACAGTCCACAGTTCCCCAGTCTCATTGCTACAAGGCTGAGTCCCGAATTATATCCATTGGAGACCGCAAGAACGGGTACGTGGTGGCAAGACAAAATGTTCTGTCCCTGCCAGGAATCGAACCTTAGTTGAAT